AGTCTATAACCTCTTTATTGCAGTAATTATAAAACTGATTAGCAACTTTTTTCATAAATTTATCCCTAGCTCTTCTAACTTTACTGTGTACATAATAATACAATTATTAATCTAATACCATTTTTTGATACAAGTCCTCTATCTACCCATGTTGTAGTAACTAATGTTGCAAGTGCTCTTAAACCAATACCATATCTAATACTGGCCAATGCAATAATAAAGATATCTTCATAGTTTCTAGATTTTTTAAAAATATTTTGTACCTGAGTTTTGAATAAAAATCTCACTTTCATCCAAAACTATTCAAAAATTTCTTGTTTGCTATTTTGTTTATCTTGAGCATTAGTTATGTATAAAGTCGTATGTTTTTTTTCTCCTATTAAATTTTTTTCTACTCTTTTTTGTTTTCAACTTTCCACTATTATTAACCTTTTTGACTCCATCAAATCAGCAGGCCCAAGTTGATGAGAACTAAGAGTTCCAATCTAGTAATTTCAAAAATTTAATTAGTAATGTGATAAATATCAATTTATTTATTAATTAATTGCAAATTGACCTAATAAAATATATGTGTTGAAGACAATGATATATTATATGAACTTATATAACATATCATTTATATAATATATCGTTTATTATGGGTGAGAAAAACCGGTTCCGAAAATCTGGTATCAGATTCGGGTTTCAAAAAACCGAATCGGTTACCCGGTTCGGTTTGTTGAAATCTGAATCCGATACCAGATTTCCGGATAGTTAAAGCTCTAAACCGATTCCGGTTCCAATTTTATTGGATACCCGTTACAATCGGATCGGAAACCGGATTTATCCGAATCAAAATTGGATAGTCTTCTGTTTTTTCAAATATATTGACTAGTTTTTTATTTACTTTTGCGTTACTATTGCGTTTTGGATAGTCTTCTGCTTTTACAAACATATTGACTAGTTTTTTATTTAATTTTACCAAATGAGTAAGTGGATCAAACTTTCCATACCTATAAATTAGGAGTAAAAATAATTAGTTAAAGTTTTATTACTAGACAATTGATTGTTATTGTTATTGTAACAAGTATAAGAAAAGTAACATTCTTCTAATTTTTCAAGTTCAAGTGAGAGTAAACTTTCCTCTACGATGAAAGAATGATTAGAAGTACGTAGCCAATCTTGTGCACAGAATAAAACTTTCACCATTCTTGGAGTCAAAGAAGTACGGAAGGAATCAAGGACACGACCTCCTGTAACAAAGGCAGACTCTGAAGCAACAAAAGACACAGGAATGGCAAGAATATCTTTAGCTATCTTAGCAATTGTGGGATATTTATTTTTGTTATCCTTTCACCAATCCAACACATTTGGGCATGATTTATTAAATTCACGTTTACCTTCTAAATATTTTTCCCACTCAACATTTTTCTTACTTATTTCAGCTCCTACTTTTATTTCAAATGTGTTTCCCAAATACCCTGCAAAACCAAACATTTTTTCATTTTCTATTCTCTCATTGTAAAATCCGGTAGTAGAGGTCATACTTGAACCACCTTATGTGGCTATACTTTCTGGTTGAAGCGTTAAAGAAGCATAAAACTCAAATAATGAAGAAAATGTTGAGGTTATTCTCTTAGACAAACACCTAGCTCTTTCAATTCCAAACCATTCCTTTACCATCCAATCAACATTTTTTTTTTTTTTTTCTCGGAACAAGAATAACAGAAATAATTTAAGTTTATCAATGTTACCCCAATATTTATCATATTTGAACTTCATTTAAGCTGCCATTTGCCTAACAATTTCATCTTCATGGTGAAGACATTGGGAGAACATATAACCAACGCTAAATATAGTACTGATATAGTAGTTAGATGTTGTATAACGTGAAGTTGACAACTTCAATGTAGCATTGTAAAATATTTTTAAGAAAGTTTTAAGAAAAGTTGACAGTTTTTTCCATTCCTCCATTGTTATATCTCAACCAACCTTGTTCATTTCTTTTAACAAATTAATTTTAAATCTTTAAAATCAAATTAGCAAATGCTTTTTTAAATTTCAAAGCAAGATTTTTATTATCTAGCTTTCCTTCATCAACACTAGCTTTGAATATTTGTAACCTAGCAGGAAAAGACCCTACATACTTTACAAAAGTACAAGCTTTTTTAATTGAAATATCAAGGTCAGCTAGGACATCTTTCACAACTAAGTTTAAAAAGTGCGCAGCACACCTCATATTCAAAAACTTTTTATCTAAGACACTACACTCCCAGTGATTAAACGGTCGTTTTAGATAGTCAAGAGCATCTTTATTAGAACTTGCATTATCAACTGTCACAGTCAAAATATTTAAATTTCACATTCATTTAGACAATTTTCAACTGCTCTACCAATAAATTCTCCAGAATAACCAGCAATCGGACAAAAACTAATCACTCTTTACGCAAATTCCAATTATCATCTATAAAATGAACATATAACTCTGATATTGACTTCTGGTCAATATCAGAGTTATATGGGCCTCACGCACACATAAATCTAATATTGACCAGAAGTCCAAGCATCGGTTGTTAAGCAGAT